TGACGGACAGCAGGCCGCATGTCTCCATGTGACATATAGTACCACTGTAGTACAGCAAGAACGCACACGATGACTAGCTCACACTCACTCCTGAGTCTGGTGCACACACACACACACACACACACACACACACACACACACATCGGGTCGCATACCAGATGAAAACGAGCTGGTTAAAGTAATACCGGCACGCTATATAGAGTCCGTAGTGTTTACAGTGAAAGAAGAAGAAGAAGAAGCTTCTACATATTTTAGGTGTCCAGGTAGAAACTAAGTGGTTAAATAACAGGAATAGAGATAGAAGTTAGATACCAGCTAAAGGTTTTACACAGTAGAGGCAAACAAAAAGCATTTGTGAAGCTTTCCTGTAGACATTTTGCAAGAAATTAATTTAAAATTCAATACTTTACAAAACACGGATGTTAAAAATAGCTTAAGCTCGAAATGAAAGATGAATTTGTTGACCAACCTGTAGCTGTTTTTATAATCTTTTATGAGCAGATTAAGCTACTACAAGATAGTTAGTTAGTAACAAAAATGAAGCATAACTTCAATCACTGGAAACAACAAAGTTAGTAAATTTAGCTTTGATCGTCTCTTGCTGTGAAATGTCTGCAATGACCTAAATGAATTTATATAAATACGCAAATAAAACCCCAAAAGTGAGATTCTAGGGCATCTGGATTAGTTGAAACATGTTGTTCCCGTTCCAGCACGGCCAGATGAAATGAAAAGTTTTAGGATTTAACATGTGGACGTTGGAATGAAAACAGAACAATTCCACGTAGATTGCAGAATAATTTCCCAGCGCAGCCCATCGGTTTCAGATGAACACAAATCAGATTAAAAAAAGGGGGGGATTTTTAACCAGGCGAAGGCTTTGTGAGCCCTACCTGCTCGCACGCTACTATGCCGCCCACACAAGGTCTTTCATTCATCTCGCTGCACCATCACACTGCTGTCTGAGGTAAAAATAGCCTCCCTCCCTCTGCGCCTGATGAGAATTACCCAGCCGTCACAGCCGTACAAAGGAGGACGTCTTCTCCGCTTACATTACCTGCCTGCTGCAAGCGTTGTTACCATACATAACACAAGGTTGTTCATGTGCACGGCCTCACACTTACAAAAGGAACCCTGCAGCTTGTCAGTCGGTGTCTCTCATCCGCCCGACTTTGTACCTGATATAAATAGCTCATTTGAAAGCGGGCTCATTAAAAATCCATGCGCCGCTTTTGCTGCCAACACATCAGAGGCCGCGTTGATCTCCCGGAGGCTTTCAAAGCGCCAACAGGCGGCTGAACTAACGCGTGAAGCCCGGCTCGAGTTGGAGTGCGACTGTGCAACACTTCCCCGTTCAGGAGAGGGAGAGAGGGAGAGAGGGACCTCCTTATGGCTGCAAGCAGAGCTCCTATGAGCTGCATTTGCCCTTGAAAAGTGAAGTGTACCGGTTGTGGTTCCCGGGGCGAGATGGAGAGCGTGGAAAGCGGATGACAGAAACACAACTGAACTGTCATCGTCGTCGTCGTCGTCGGGCGATGCATCACCACGCCGACCCGTAACCGCGCGGAAAAAAAACAGACACACAAAAAAACAGCATGAACACAATCAGAAGTCTGCTTACACAGTCATCGGAGCTCTTCACGCGACCCCCCTTGGCTCGTTTCAGCAAGCGGACCCAGGTGGCCTTCATCAGCCACGCTGGTCCTTCAGTGTCCTGCCCCACCGCCCCCCTCCTCCCCTCGTACTACTGCCACGACCGCACCTGCACCTGCGCCTACCACCTTCCGCTGTGGTCACCAGCGCCTCGGGCGTCGGGCTGCAGGTGCACGCGGCGCACGTGGACGGCTGTGGCGCCCCCCGCCCCCGTTACGCCGCGGCCATCACCTCCAGGTGAATAAGACGCAGGGGAGTCGGGGCTCTGGCGGGGCTCCGGCTGCAGCTCCTCCTGCTGCTGCAGCCGATGACGGGGAATCCACAGGAGCTCTCTGCCCCGCGCATAATCTCAGCCGCTCAATCCCCCCCCACCTCCCCCCTCGTCTTCTGTTGAGCGCTGCGACTGCGGGTTGCTGAGGCTGACTCCCGAAATGAGTCAGGTGGCGACGACGCTTCTCAGCCTCTTTGCTGAAGATTTTGGCTCCCGCTTTGATCTCCTCCTCCTCCTCCTCCTCCTCTTCGTCCCTGCGCTGTTCCACAAGCGATGGATGAGAGCAGTTTTTTCCCCCCCGCCGCGGCCGCCTGTGGCCGACTCGCCTCCTAATGCTCGTGGAGCTGCTGCCTGTCAGATGCTGCGAGCTCCATCTCTCTCGCTCGGTGGGTGCGTGTCCTGCACTCCCTCCTTCAGGGACGCCGCCTCTCTACCTCCGCCTTCACCCACCCCTCCTTCCCATCCTTCTCCGTCGCTCCTCTCAGATTTTTCTCTTTTTTTTTCTTTCCCTCCTCTACCCCTCACTGTCGGTCCATCTGCTCGTTGCATCTCCGCGGCGACAGGATGTGCCGCACGGTTGCTGTTTATGTGTCGTTGCTGTTTTGTTCTTTTTCCTTTTGCACCACATTCACCCTCATACGAGCTGTTTATAGGAACGAATAAGTGTCACATCGCCGTGTTGTCAGGGGGCGAGGAGCAGAAGATCTGATCCCTTTTTATCGTGAATCATATTAGAGCTGCAATGGATGATTATTCCCATTATTGATTCATGTACTGGTTCTCAGACATTTCTATTTGTGAGCCTATTTCTCTGCGAAAGAAAACACAACCTGCGCACATCCCCTACCAGTGCTCTCAAAACGTGCATCTGTACATTGGGGACAGTATAGCAACAAGGAAAAAAGTGTTTTGGGATGTTTCCTCTGATTGTTCTGACTGGTTACTGGTGTGCGGCTCAATCAGACACGAAATCACACAAACAAGCTAAATTGATTTAACTTCAGAGCACAATATGGCTTTTCTCATATCTGGGATTTTGACTGCATTGTTTCCATCCTGAATGATCTATTTTGGACAACTGATTGTCTAAAGCTCGATATAAATGAAGTCAGAGTGCGTTTTCAAGCACATAAAGTGGTACCGGATTTTTTGAAAGATTTCCTGAGATCTTTGAAGATTGAACATCTTTGAGTTTCAAACTGCTGCTCTGGCCAAATGAGATTTGAAAAGAATTAAATATAGCATATACCTTTACACGAGGGATTCTGGAGGGGGGGATTCTGAATCCTCTCCCGTCAGATGGGCGGTGATTCGTTACATGTGAGCGGAGCCTCACTCAGCCACACGGGACACCGGAGAATAATGACGGCGTTAATTAACCCCCCCACCCCCCCCCCATCCTCACGGCAGTAACGGCCTAATGTTAAACTCTGCAGAGGGATTATTCCACGTGTCCCGCTGATGCGTGCGAGGTCAGAGGCGTCAAAGGGGGGGGGGGGGGGGGTCGTCCCGTAGGAGGAGCGCTGCCTGTACATCAGAGGATGACACGCTAATCAGCGGCGCTTATCATGACCAATCAATGACACGCCTCCATCTGCTCGGGGTCCCTTCAACTACACGCGGGCACTTAGAAACGACACGTCTTACACGAAAGGAAAGGCCGAGGGAGGATAATGTGATTTTTAGCCCATTGAGACCAATAAGCCGGACAAGGAAGGCAATTACCAGAGGTGGGTTATTCCCAACAGAAATGATGGGAATAGATCAACATCGAAGCGCTTCAGGGCCAAAAACCGCACCCCGGCCGGCAGCTCCGTCGGGGGGGGGATGGTGCGACGGTCGCATATGTTTCAGAGAGGCGGCTCGACTCTCGCCCGCTGGGGTCCGAGGGGGGGAGAGAGTCGCAGATGCTCCGATCGAGAAGCCCCCCCCGGAGACGAGAGCTGCCGGCGCTCGCCGACAAAGACGCAGAGCGACGGGAGTGAGCCTCGGGCCGCCGGGCCAGCGCTGACCTCTAGACCCGCTGCCACGCTGACACGGACGGGCCTGTTGATTGGCCGCAACTGTGCGCTCTCCAGAGGAAGGTCAACGGGACCCATTGACTCTCTGGCACTGAGGTCCTCGCCGCAGGACCAGCGGCGGCCGTCCACACGCAGCGGCGGGCGGCTCGGCGATCGTCGCATTAGACCGTAACAAATCCCTGCGGCCAAACAAGGAGGCCGCCAAGCAGTCAGTCAGTTATTTTAGCCGCTATAAGAGCAACTTTGTGAGTGTATCCCATGTAGAAAAAGTGTTCTCATGGGCAAGAAGTCCTTGAACACGATCGGTAGAATTTATAACGCTATGCGCCAGGGATCAAAATGATCGGCTGCGGAAACCAATGGGCCGGCGTGTTGAGATTGCACAATATTTCTCACATTATGCATCATGATTGAAGAACGAAGACAGCCTCTCGTGCCAAGTCGTGTTCAGTCCCGGCCGACGGGCTGCAGCCGACTGCACGCCGCTGACAATGGGCCTAGTGTGCTCGCGCTTTCTGGCTCGGCGTGACTCATTCTCGGCTGAATAAATAAATAAAAAAACAGCCTTTTTACCAGCCATCTGTCCGTCAGCGCTCCTTCCCTCAGTGCAACATGAAGTCAATTAAAATCATCGGCCCACAAACGGCGTCTCCTTCGCCACACGGAGACAGCGAGAGCCGACTCAAACAAGAGAGAAAGGGAGAGAGCGAGAGGGAAACGACTGTGAGAGAAAGAATGCGAGAGAGGAATGCGGTGAGGAGGAGGAGGAGGAGGAGGAGAAAAGGAGGATTGGCCGCATTGACGTCAAGGTGACATCGACAGGCCCATGAAGAAACAGTGTTTACCCAGCATCCCGTGTGTTTACCCAGCATCCCGTGCGCCAGTGCATTAGATAAGTGCATCATCGCGTCGCAGGGGAGGATGCACACCGGCTGTCAATCACATGATGGAAGGGCGCAGCGCTGCAGGCTGGAAAAGCTGGGAACCCATCAGACGCTAAGCTTCATTCACACACCTGGATTACTAGAGACTCAAAGGAAATCCTAACAACAATTAACGAAATTCTCAAATAGACATGAAGTCAGCAGGATTCCTCCTCTCAGAATCCTTCACTCCACGTGAGTTCACTGCTATTTGTCGACACTTTTTCCTGAAGTAAAGCACCAGTAGCCTCGATAACATCGCCGAGATCCCCGCCGCTGCATCAACGTGCGCTAATCCTCTTTCAACCTGTAAGCGGCACCTGCAGCCGGCGGCAGAAGCCCCGAGAGGGGCATCGCTGTCGATCGCCGTGAATCCACTCACAGCTGTTCAACGTAGCACCGGGTGGGTGGGAGGGAGGGAGGGAGGAGGGGGGGGGAGGGTGATTGATGAAAAACGGCTGAGAGAGAACGAGCTGCTAAACCGTCTTCAGCGGAGCGAAGAGAACCGCGCGGCACACGGGAGGTTCATTTCATTCGAACAGAGATAAATAACATACTTTGGACCGATTCCTTTAGGAGATTATTTATATGCACTATTCGGTCTTGCTGGCAGAGAAGCATTGGGGATTAGCCAGAATACAGTGGCACATAAAACATATATTGCTATATAAAGGCCACAGGTAAATTCTAAAAGGATAGAATAGAATAGCAGAGACTCTTTTTTTCACAATAGCCAAACCCCCAAAATATTTAAATGTTTATTATCTAACATGACAAATAAAAGCATCTAATACTCACAGATGAGAAAGAAGGGAAATTTAAAAAGAACTGTTTTAGATAGATTTTTAAAACTGATTCTCAGCTACATCAATGCATGAAGGAACTAGATCACTCTGACAGTTTAGCGTCTGTGTATATACATATATAAGTATATAGATATATATATCCGGCGGCGTTAAGAATAATAAATTAGGCTAATTGGATGGCTGCTGCTGTTGTTGTTGCTGCTGCTTTCGCTCTATGAAACACCACAGACACAAAAGTCTCGCCTCACAAAGGTCTCGTCCATCAATGTGGGATTGTGCACCTTTCTTCAAGCTGACATCTCACTTCCAAACGTTTAAACTCCTGAGGAGATCCCGAGTGAGGAGCCGGATCGGTTTTGTCAGAGCTTAAAGAACAACTAGCAGCTATCGATTGAGCTGCAGAGAGCCGCAGGCAGCTTCTCATTTACTAGAAATAAACGTGACAGATCTGTTGCACACACACACACACTCTCTCGAACCAACAGACACACATGCACACTGTGGCCCTAAACACATACATCTAGATACATGATTTAATTGGCATTAATTGATGGACGTATAGCTGTGCAAGAAACCTATAATCAATTTCAATTACAATAACCTCAACAGCGATGGGATCGATGACTTTCCCTTTAAAAGGTGGGCTGCAAAGTGTTCGGTCTAAATGCATGGTGGGACGGAATCAAGTAATTGTGCTCAATAATATTGACCTCAATGAAGCTGAGGAGACCGTGTTCCACTCTGGTTTCAGGTTGACCTGTTTTTCTTATTCCAAACCACAAATATCTGGTATCTGGACCGGAAGTGATCATGTTTTAACGACACTCGTCCGTGTTGACTGCTGTTAACTTGCTTTTAGAAGCTGATTTGTCACGAATACGTTTGGAGCTGATAACCATTACTGATCACTATAACAGGAATATATTTCACACACACACACTGCGATACACGAACCAACCGAAGAGAAACTACAGAGAATCTTTGCTCGCCTCGTGTGGCTGAGACCAAACTTGTTCAGTAGGTCGCAGCCACAAACGTTTTGATCTCTTTACTGGTCTCTGCACGTAAACAAAGCAGCTGTTTGCCTTCTTTCCCTCGCTCTGCTGGTTGAGCGCCGTCCCCAAACCGGTCCCAGTGAGCGGGACGCGGCTCGACATCCTGCCTTCTCCGGCAGCGCGAGCCCGTCCTATTTGTTCGGCGGGTGGAGGGGAGGGCGACGTGAGCGGCACGGTCCACTTCAGCGCAGGAAAGTGGGGAAAAGGAAAACCCATCTGGACCGCAGGGAAGCTTGTTTACTCCCAACTTACCAGGTCTGACTCCTCACTGCCGGAGCGGTACATTACCGTCCCGTCCGACCCTCCGCGGCTCGGCCCCGGCTGGGAGAAAATCTCAGCTGCTTCCCATCTCCACTCGGAGCACAGGAACAGATTCCCTAGTCCGCGATCCGGAGAGGGTTTTTGGGGGGGATGGAAAGGGGGCGAGGGGGGGGGGTTAAAGTCTGGAGAGCCTGGAGGAAAGAAGTCAGCTCCTCTCAGACCTCCTTTGGCCTACTTCGGTCCCTGGGAGGCAGGAGGAAAAGATCAGCGTCTTTCCCACGGCTGGGAGAACACTCCTTCAGAGAGCCGCAACCGTCCTCCAGCCCCCAAAAAACAACCCCCCACGCCACCCACCCACCCCCCTGTGCTCCTCTCC